GGGGGGGGGGGGGGGATTTGGGGTTTTTTTTTGAACGGGGTTGGGGCAAATTAAGGGTGCGGAATGGCCCCGCCCCCCTTGGCGGAGGGGGGGGCAGGGGGGGCGGGAAAAACCGGGGCGGGGGGAAACCCCCCGGGGCCGGCGAAGGAGGAGGGGGGGGGGGAGAAGAAGGGGTTTTCCCCCTTGGGGGGGGCCCGGGAGAATTTTTGCCCCTGGCAATTAAAGGAGGTTCCCCGGGGCCCTTGGGCCCGGGGAGCATGGATCCCAGTTTCCCTTTGGGTGGTGGGGGTTTGGGTTTGGGTTTCCCGGGCCCTTTGGGAAAGGTTTTAACCCCCGGGGGGGGGCCCCCCCTTGGCCCCCCCCAGGGGTTGGCCCCCGCGGAAAACCTGGGTTTTCGGGGGGGGGGCCCGAACCGGGGGGAAGGGTTTGAAGGATTGGGCCTTACCCCCTTTGTTCCCGGGGGGAAGGGGGAACGGTTCCCCCCGGCCGTTGGGCCCCTTGGGGTTGAAACCCCCCCGGGGGTCTCGGGTTTCTAAGGACGGGGGGGCCGGGGGGGGGGGGGGGGGGGGCGTTACACACCGGAGGAATGCTTGTGGCACACGGCCGAGGGCACGAAAAGGTGGAACTAAAAACCAGCGGAGTTGGGGAGTAAGCCGTACTCATGTTATGCATTACCTTAGCGGTCAGACCATTCACCACGCGTCCTCCTCGAGAGGACGGAGCACTGTTCCCACATGATCGGCGGCCAATCGTTCCTTCCTACGTTGCTAACGTCGGATCCAAAATGCTGTCCCTAGCCTATCTATCCTACGGCAATGGAGAGGGGGGAGGGTTACGCATGGAGAGAATAACGGAGAAATGCTTGTGGTAGACGGTCAAGGGCACGAAAAGGTGAGCAAAAAAATAAAACGGTGGGGGAGTAGGCCGAGGGGTTCCGCGTGAGCCACAACGAGGGGGGGGGTGTAGAGGCGACATTACGGAGGAGGAAGAGCGGGCGTAGCTGTAGATGCTGTTTCGACACTGTCGCAAAAACAAATTCCGTCAATCTGCACCTGGCCAAACCTCTAGCGAACAAGCGGGGGTTGTTGGTGGTCTTCCGGCCCACCTCTTTGGGTCCTTCACTGGAGGTCAAGGATAGTAGCCGGCTGGTGCGAAACCCCAACGCGTGTGCGGCGCGTCAGTCTTCAATAAACACGGCAAAAACAAGCGTGCTTGTCCGTGCCAGCCAAACAAGCCTACTCGACGAGTCGAACGGAACTGGTGCCTGATCGCTGTGGCGAGGTACCACTTCCTCTATAAAGGTCGCTGACTTGGTTCTCTCTCTGTCTCCACACAAAAAACAAGCCAAGAATCCAGCCGGGTTTTTCTGTTCCACTCACTGTATAGACTTTGACTTCCGACACACCCGCTTCGACTACTGTGGTCATGTCTCGGACGGGTACTGCTGTAGTCTTTATTTGTTTCTATGCATGCAGTAGAAGTCCTTGTTTAACGCCGCATGTTTTAGTCCGGTTGCCCTGCTAAAGGCCGGTGAAATCGCTTGGCACAAGATGGGACATTCATGTTGTCTCATTTCACTGAATAGTGCTGGGTGCCCGATGTTAAGGTCGGCAACATCCTTTGGAACATAGTGGCCTTAAACAGGGACCTCTACTGCAATTTCAAAGGCCACCATTCAACACAGCATCGAGGGGGGGGGGCGGCGGCTCAGGTGCCGTCCATCTCACCGTCGTCGCAGAGCTCGAGGCCACGAGGAACTCGATCCCACCCCGGCCAGGCTCCGCGGCGACGCCTTCTCCTCCTCCTCCGGCGGCCTGCCGCGGCAGCAAGAGGGGGTCCCGCCCGCCGCCTCTCTCGGCGTCAGAAGACACCGCCGTGTCCGCCGTCGTCGTGCGCGTGCTCCTGTCGCCATTCTCGTCCCCGTCGTCTTCCGCCAGTGCCTTCGCCCCGGTCCCCCGGTTTCTCCCTTCTTCCCCCGCGGCGGACCCCCCCCCTCCTCCCCCTCCTCCCTCCCGATCTTTCAATATGCCGGCGGCGACCCTCCGCCCGCCCGGTCTCGCCTCCCGGGGCATCGCTCGACTGCGACGACCTCGGCCTTGACCTTGCCTGTGCGGCCGCCGCGGGGGGGTTTCGTATCTCCTGTCCGCCCCCCCTCCCGTCTCCGAGTCACGACGACTCCACGAGGGCGGTGGTGGCGCCGCCGCCGCCGCCGCCGCCGTGGAGCGAGGGGACGCCTTCGCCCCGTCCCCGGCAGAAACATCCGCCGCGCAGGACACGCGTGGCGACAAGACACAACCGGTCGGCGTCGTGGCAGAGGGGGAGCCGATCTCAGTGGCCAACTCTCGCAGGTGGGACGTTAGGACGATCGACCTACCATCCACCCCGCCCCGGTTTCCCTCCCGACGAGGCGCACCCCCCCCCGCCGCCGCGGCTGGTGCCATCCCTGGAGCCGCGTCGTCTGTGCTCGGCCTTGGTCGGGCCCCCCGCTTTTCTCGTCGGACCGGGGATGTTGGCCTGCCAGCCCCCCCCACGTCTTCCGAGTCGCGGTGCCTGGGGTGTATGTACGGTTTGCCAAAAAAGGGTCAAAAGCCAAGGAAGAGAACACAAATAAAAATCCTCGAATGCAACATAGACAACCAGACAGCTAAAGCCAACGGGATAGGGGAAACCAGATGGTGCACAAAAGAGGCGTCGAGGAGCTGCACAGCCGGGACAGGAGAGGGAACAAGAACTCCCCAAGAACATGGCACAGATAGGCCGGTACACTTGCACTCCAAGTTCGAGTTACGCGCTTCGCGATCATCGAAACAGGGTACAACGTACAACGAACGCCGTTCTCGGGCAAGGCAACACGGTTCCCGAATCGCGTCAAAACAGGAGACACGCACTGCACTGCAACTCTATTTTCGCGAAATGCGGTCGGCAAATCGCCCCCCACCATCGAAACCGTCAACGCGAAAGAAGAAACGAGCCTTCGCATATGTACTGGCGGTGTCTCCGTGAGGACTAGGGACAGTGTCAACAGACAGGCAGACAGACAAGACTGCTGTGTGTGCGTGCTCAACGGCCAAGCTACGGCAGCAAATACGAAAAATGTGACAGATCCAAACAAAGCCCCTGCGCACCTTTCGAGTCGCACCCCCGCTTCGCCGCCGCCGTCGTCGTCGTCGTCGTCGTCGCAATCTGCGTCGCCCCCGAGCGAAGCGCGACCTTCCAACCGCGAACCAGACCCCCCCCCCCCTCCGACACCCGCAAGGCCACCAACAACCCGCCTCCCGGTGCCGGGTGAGGAGGATACCACCTCCTCCTTCCGCCTCTCCGCGTGCTGCCGGCCGGTGAAGTTACCGAAGCCGGGGGGTTGTGGCCACCAGGTTCCCACCGCCTTTCCACCGGAGACGGGTCTCTCGCCGGAGTCAGGCTGCGACTGGAGCCGCAATCGGGGTAGATTTATGTAACCACGAATAAACGCGGCAAAAAATGCATCAAAAATGAGCATTGTACAGATGTAAACGAGACGTATGTACGCGATGGGTGTAGATGTCAGCTCTGGGCGTGTTCGATTGTGGGCGCTCTTTTTTTCGCTACACACACGCAGCGAGATTTTGGCAGTGGTTTCTACGGTTGATCGTGTCTACCTACGCAGCGTCGAAGGAAGGCGGGAAGGCACCTTGCTCAAGGCAGGAGGCTGCTGCCCGTCCTGGTTGAGACCCTGGCACGAGGTGCACCAGTGGACATCTGCCTTGAAGTTGACCTCCATGACGCTGAGAACCTCCGCGATCGCCTCGTCAAAAATGTTGTACCTGAAGAAAAACAAGGAGGACGGAATATGCAATAAAAGTCGAGGAAGTAGGCACCTTTCGACCAGCGGAGCAGAATTGGTGTGCCTGTCGTAGGTGGGAGTAGCCTACGCTGCGGTACGGGGCCTTCGGCAAAGACCAACAGAGAGCGTGCAACGTGCGCGTTTTCTGCCGCCAAAGGCTCAACAAATGGGATTCTTCTTGATTTGTACCTGCCTTTGACCACATGTCCCCCCTAATTCTTTTTTGCGAGTGTACCCTCCTTCGACCACAATTCCCCCGGATTCTTCTAGGTGAGTGTACCCTACTTCGACCACAACTCCACCGGATTTTGTTGGTGTGGACCTTTCTTGGACCACAATTTCCACCGGGTTATTCTTGGTGTGTGCGTGCGTGCCCTTCTTCGACCGCACGTGGATTCTACAACAAAAAACAACAGAAGCATCAGCATCAACAACAACGATTTCCTCACCTAGCAAGCTCAGACTCCAGCACCCGCTTCCGGCAGCCCTGCGAGATGTCCATTTCTTGCTCACCCCCCTCGACCAAGAAGCGGTCCACTATCGCAGCCGTCACCGCCTGAAGCTCCAAGTACTCCTCGACCTTCTCCCGACCTATACACGCCTATGCACGTACATGTACGTTGGAAAACCGCGCGACCCATTGTTGCGCCAGCGAAAACGTGAGGATGAAACGCTTGAAAACGTGGGTGGTAAAATAAATAGTTTTTTCGGCTTGCGAGGCCCACTTGGCGCGTCAGGACGGTAGATGCAATGGCTATTTGCGTCAGGAACGGCAACCATCGCCAGGGTGACGGCGACAATTTTTTGCTTTTTTCGAGGACTCGGAGGGTGATCGCACGGGATTGGTGTGTCACGTTTAGCCCTTGGCTGTATCGCGTGCGCTATCATATGTATCATCGCAACGTCGTTCGAACCCCGGTTGGACACAATTTTCAAAAGATGGTTGACCCGAAAAAGCTGCTTGTTTATCGGATACAATATTTTCTTTCAGTGTACACCCGGAGACCGACCGGCAGACCGCGCCCCCCGCGCCAAAAAAAAAAAAACGGAGGGGATGGTGATATTGCTGGTCATGGAAGCTTGCCTACCTTGAGAAAGTCCGACACCTCCGGTGCAGCTCTCGAGAGAGAATAATTCCGGATCTTTCTCCGTAGATCGCCCGCACCCAACTGATCGTCGGCGGCGAGGGAGGCCCGTATCTGCGCCGGCGTGGGTAGCTTCGAGAAGCCGAAAGTAAACTATTGCGCCCCCCAGCATGCAAAAACGGAGGGGGGCCGTAGGGGGGGCGACGACAAGGGGGGGGGGGGGGGCATCGAGGTCAACGCTCGTGTTTCGCAGCATGAAGAGCCCGAAGGGGAACCATGAAACTTGTTGTGTAACGTCGATGGGAAGGCAGGAGGAAACTGATGTACCTCCGTACGGGACAGAGACAAGACGATTGTACGCCAAAGGGGGGTTGGGGTGTTCTCTGGAGGTATGAGACGTCGAACTGCTGTCGGCAGCACGAAATGATCTGATTGCAGTATAGGGCGGACAGGGAGGGGACGAGCAGGAGAGGAGAAGGAACAACAACAGTGGTAGGTTGTTCGATAGAACACCATGAGGGGCAAAGCCAAGCGTGTTCTCACCTGCGAGATGTAGGCGTAGTCCTGCTGAAGGTACTTCAGAAGCGGCACAAATACCGGGTACCAGAAGAGCACCGCCGTGCTCTAGAAATTTCGTCCGTTTGGAGGGGGGGGGGGGGGGG